CCCCCATCTGGCCATGGAATCGACCGTCCCCAGAAAGGATCAGCCTTCGGGAGCGACTGCAGCGGTGCCGGCGGCAGCAACAGCGACGGGGCGCTCCTACCCGCCGCGCCCCCAGCGAGGAGCCCGATCCGGCAGGTAGCGCCCTGGGGAAGTGAGGGCCCCCAGTGTCCTCCTCTGACGAACAGGAGGACGATCCGAGGGATGGATCGGGAGGCGAGGCGAGGTGAGAGTAAGGAGCAGCGGGATTAATGGACGCGAATGGAAGGAAGGAGAGGGGTGGTGGTGAGGGGCCGCGTCCCCACCGCATGGTCCGCTACCACCAGCACGCTTGACCTGATTCCTGAATGAACGCATTTCCCAGGTCCCCCCAATGCACCGAACGGGCTGGGTTCGAAGAAAAGGTTAAACCACAGAACCAAAGTTAAACCTAACCAAGTTTAGCACATAGCCAGAATGCAGCTGCTAGGTCCTTAACCAACTTGGTTAAGTGTGTTATGTGAGCTCTGTCACTGGCTGAGTTCCATCATGCATTAAGCCATAATCTGGCTGGGTTGAGTTGGTTTTAGTGGGTTCGGTGGACCTAGCAGTTGTCATTTATAAACCATGGTTTATTAAAGTTGCTTTTGTGCCAAGTAATGGGTCTATCTAGCCTGTGGACTTCCCTCTGCTTCACAAAAGCATGGCATGGTTTCAGGTAGAATTTTTTCCCAGCTGCCAAAGTTCTTTTTAAACAGGAGGAGGATGGCTCATTTGGAATTTTCAGCACATTAAGTATGTAAGTTCTGTTGTTCAATTGTTCAATCTTTGTGACTCGGCCATAATTTCACCAGGATTGTCTGTCAGAAACTGCTCTTTTGAGTACTTATAAGATCATACTTCTGTCATTGCTAATAGTATACAACCACTTTGTCTTCTGTTGCTCTCCTCTTCAATTGCCTTCAATTTTTCCAATGACTTTGTCTTTGCCATATGTGCCCAAGTAGCCAAGCTTTACCTTCATTACTAGTGCTTCAGTGAGCACCCTGGTTTCACTTCACCTAATATCTTCTTGGGGAAGGATAAGTGCTAGCAGTGAGCCACGCTCTCTCAGGGTTTAAAGCTGTGAGGTAGCCCATCTTCCAGTTGAATGGTATGGTGTGGTCATTGCAGCCAAGGTCTTGTAGAATCAGAATTATACCCTGAGACCTACAAATAATGGCTTGCTGTGGTACTTACAGATTACCATTTTACTACATACCTTTTACTTGTTGAGATAGTACACACATCAGGGTCTGTCAGCAGCAGCAACCTTCAGCAGCTGGCAGGTGTCCATTCAATAGCTTTTTGAACTGTGCAGAAGGTAGTATTGTAGTGCCAAATCACAATAGAGCCATTAAGTCAGCACTGCAAGCAAAGTCAGATAGAGTTCATTGGAAAAAGAAACAGCAGGACCACGGACAGCTCCAAGTGAGCCTTGGTTGTGTTCTCTTCTATTAGTGCAATGGAAGGATGTTGATTCAGCAATGCTGTAATGAACCGTAGTGTATTGTAGTATAGTGTAGAGATCCTTTGTGGAGGAGGACCTCCCTAGATTTTGCACTCCCAGATTTCTGCAAGGCTACAGAGATGGAGAAGATGCTGGTGAAACACTGCCATTTAGAGGGAGGATCCTAAATATGGATCCGATTGTCTTTCTCTCAGGAGTCAGTCAATGTGACTAGGAAATTTGAAATTTGTCCAATATATCTGGAAGGCACCAAGATAGGGAAAAGGGTGTTATCTTCTGCTATTAACCTGTCAAAAATATAACAAGAATTTAAGACACATGCTTGTATTACTTGGTTGTTTGTTTCCACCTAATAAGTGGACAGATTTATCTAATAGTTACTTTGTACAATATGTATGCAACCCTTTACTAAACTGTTCTTACAGATTCTCTTGTCAATTGGGAAGTTTTGTAAAGGTACAAGTTTTAATCTGGTAAGCACAAATGAGGAGTTTTGGGGTACCTAACAGCTAATTTGTTTATAGTAGCATACACTTTGTGGGTGTGGGTTCATTGCATCTGATGGGAAGAAGTGTTCTCAATTGCAAGAGATAAAGGGAGTGAAATTAGTATAAGTGGGGAGAATTAGTTATGAAACGCAAGCCATACAGCTTGTGACATTTCTAACGGAGCTCCGGCAGTTAAGATTCTTTTACCCCTATGTTTACAATTTCCACTCCTCTCTATTCATGTCTATTTTTATATTTGCCAAATGAAGACAGTATTTTCGGCATCTAATGAAGTGGGCTGCAGAGGACAAGCTTTTGCTGTTGCACATACACTCATGCTTAAGGCTCATGTCTTAATTATCTGAATGTTTTTATGTGTCTGCTTGAAATTTCTCCTTTTTTTGGAGCAAGTGAAGGACATATAGTTAAATATCCGTCAGCATGATGAGCATAGCAGACAGTGATTTTATTACATATAAGTTCTGTCGAGAACCCCAGAGGTGAACTTGGAGAAGGAATATAGCAGTTAGCAAAACATGATTTAAGATGAGAAAGAGAAGAGAATGTTAGGACCAGATTTAAACTGCCTCCCCTTTATAGTAATTCTTTTGGGTATAAGGTGGGAGGGAGGGAAAACTTTATCTGGCTTTCAAGATTCTGTTACTACAGCCTATATCAATAAAGTTGAGTTCCACTATTTCTTGTCTGTTTCCTGATCTGGCCTACAGTATGTTCACAAGGTGACAACATCCTATCATAGA